ACGTACTGTACGTAACAGTACAAATCAGTAAACTACGTTTATGACGAACACGCTTATAACGAACAGACAGATATAACGAATTTATATTTTGGTCCCGGCCATTTGATGTGTATATGCTGTATATATATGCATGTAACGAACTGCGGTTATAACGAACTAAAGTTAGTGGTCCTTTTGAGTTCGTTATAACCGTAGTTAACTGTATGTCTCTTCAAGTTTTGTATCCTAGAACAGTAAAAATGTTAGTGACTATCTAATATTCTGGTTTTGTTCAGGAAACGGGGGCGGTCGGGTAGCCTAGTGGTTAAAGCGTTCGCTCGTCACGCCGAAGACCCGGGTTCGATTCCCGACATGGGTACAATGTGTGAAGCCCATTTCTGGTGTCCCCCGCCGTGATATTGCTGGAATATTGCTAAAAGCGGCGTAAAACCATACTAACTCACTCACTCACTCAGGGAACGGTTATCTTTTGTAAAAGCCTGAAGACCATTGACAAATATAGTCATCTTAGTAATTGAAGTCGGCAGTCCCCTGCGCTCGTCTGTCCTTCTCGAGAACCCGCGGTCCGTGTTGTCTCTGGAGACTACGAGCGTTCATCAGCAATATGCCAGACAGGGGGTAATCACGTTTGGTTTGACAGTGGGATCAATTGATATTGGCTGTGCCTATGAGGAACAACACGACAGCGTGATGGATAGCGCCTGACGGAGTAGCCCTCGTTTGCAGAAACAACCATATTTATTGTTAATATCTCAGACGTTTATGAATCGGAAATGTTCTTCGACGCATGGGACTTTATTATTACCAATATACACCCATGCTCAACATAAAATAAACGTTCAACGCTGTCGACTCATGTCGAATATTGTGCGTCGTCGTTGCGATCATAGGAATGTTTGTTTGCGCACTCCTCGTCAAAATAACGTTATACGCACGCGACCGGGGCGCGAACCCTTCCCGTCACGGTCGCGTCTTGGTAACAGCCTTGCACAGGGGTAATGTCGAAACATCGAAACACGCTTGATCATATTACAGATGAGCCCATTCAAGAGGACGAACACACGTTAAAACTTCATATTTTTCGTATTGGATGCCGGTCTCTGTTATTTATGTATAGCGCCATGCTCACTGCGACCATGCAGGATTGGGCACTTTCAACACTATAGGGCTGAGCGTATATGTCAACTGTAATCTCAGCTAAAGCTTGGCATTACAGCAAAATTAGCTGTCGTGCGATATTATGATTTCAATGGAGGACTTCTAAAGACAACGACCAGAGATAACGTCTCGGGAAATACGACCGTGTTCTATATTCATGGCATTTAAATAACACCAACCATTAGGCCCATATGAGTTTAGGATTTCATTTCTAATCTAAATGAATATCCCCATCAGTAATTGATGAGATGTATCCATGAAAAACCCCATCACTAAATCAAACATCAGTAGAAATACGTTGGTGAACCTCCTTCGAAGATTTACCCTAAAATGACCAAAAATGACTAAGGATATGAATTGGAGCGCTATTCACACCCACATGAATAACATTCTACTCAAGAGCAATCGCATTTCACTCGATCGATGAAGCATTGATCGGACTATGTGTCAAAGACTATATTGTACTTGCCGAATTTACTATGACATTTAGCGGTGAGCGATTGTGAGTTGGTCGAGAGTACGCACAGTATTTGTAACAGACTCGAAAGCGAACTGTTATGTATGGAAACAAACTCTACACGCCATTTAAAAGCAGGAGACGGGTATTGATGCAGACACTCGTGCATAGCATCGTTGCTGCTGAATGGGGATATCTTGCTGTCGGCCAATATGAGCAAATATCATTGACTATTTGCTCCCGCTGCTTGTTGTAATCTCAATTTCAGAATCTCAATTATCTTTAGATGCTGAATGTTGATCTGCTTCCTCGGAAAGGATGTTTTTTAGAGGGTATCATATGTAAATTCAAAATGAGTGAGTAAATGAGTGTGGATTAAAGCCTCTTTGAACAGCGTTCCAGTTATATCGCGGCATGTCAGCTTAGTGTGGGAGGAAAGCCCGAAGTGATACAGGTCTCAGATGTTTACCACTTCGGTGAAACCAACGACCACGAGGATGGTGTTGACAAACCTAGAAACATAATCGAGGGGGGGGGGGGGGGGGGGGGACCGGGATTCGAACCCATTGACTTTTTGCGTGCCCCAGGGACGAAACTCTTCACGATGTAGTTCGGGTTAAAGATCATCCCTGTGTTTAGCATAATCAGGGACTTATTTGTAACAGATCTTCTCTTCATGTCGTATTGAGGGCAATGATCTTAGAGATAATATGACACCTATATCCCGTTATAACAATGTGACGTACAGTTTCTTTTCCATATCATCATTTATGACCAATTATATCCCTTCGCGGGATTATATTACTTCAAGCGGAAGGAACTTGCAAGATAGAAGATAGGAGATCAAATGTTCTTTTGGAGTGGGTGTGTGGGTGGCCTTGGTTTAACGTCGCCTTGAACAGGATTTCATTTATATCTTTGCGTGTGACGAAAGAAGTGGCACTTGTGATAGACGTTTACTACAGGAAACCCAGGATGACGGGCATTATTAGTGGGATCTGGGATTCGAACCCAGCCAGTCCGTGAGAGGCTTATGGAAGGCACACCATCTTACTAATGGGCCATCAGAGTCAGAGGTAGGGTCTTTGTCCACATCATGATTTTAAAGGCATTGAAACAGTGGTAAAAAATCAAGCTGGTTCGGGAAAACGTCTTCGCTACAATTAATGCTATTCTTTGGACAGGTCTTCCCCTAACTGAGCCAAACGCCTAAATGCCAATGGATATCAAGTGTTGTGTCGACCTGCACGCCTATTAACGTATCGCGGGTTTCGGTGATAATAAAGAAACGCTTTGTAGTAAAACATTGTAAGTTTAAGTTCATAGTTCGATCCAAATGGTTCTCTCTGGAGTACTGCCTCCGTGGTCTAGTGGTAGAGCGTCCGCCCGGAGAGGGGAAGGTCCGGGGTTCGATCCCCGAACGCGTCATACCAAAAGACGTTAAAAGATGGTACTTGTTGTTACCCTGTCTGTCGCTCGGCATTAAGGGGCTAACACAAGGACTGGTCGGTTCGGAGTCAGTATACTGTGTCTGACTGGGTTATTTATGTTAAACTGCGGCATGGTATGTCAGTGAGCTAGCACTATAAATCGGCATCAGTCCGGACTAGTACAGGCAGCCACACAAACACACACACGTACATGCACGTCGCTATGTAAGTGCAATAATCTTGGACGCGACGTTAAACTCCATTTCACCTCACCTCTCTGGAGTCTTGCTGGAAGGCCTTTAATCCACCTAGGGCAACCAACTCTCGAGAGGTATAATCAAATCTACATTAACCAAAGTAAAAATACCCAAATCTTATAAGTCAATCAAGGTACATGTATATGTAGCTCTTCCAGCAACTATGGAACATTTTGGACTATTCAAACACTTGAATCGCGAAATGAAATAAACCAACCACAATTATAATTGATTACGTATAACATCCATAGAAATATAAACATTAAGTACTGACTATACACTATTTTTGTAGTGTTAATGTGATGTTGATGTGGACGCAGATCAACACTTAAACTGGGTAGCTTATTGGTTAACGCGTACGCTCGCCACGCGGAAAACCCGTGTTCGATTCGTTACATGGGAAAACAGGTAAGGCTAAATACTGGTGCCTCGTGATATTGCTGCCATATTACCAAATCAGCGTACACACATGCTCACTTTCTCACTGACGCTCTTTCTCACTCATTCATCAGTTTGGATTGAGTGAGTGAGTGAGTGAGATGGGTTTAACGCCGCTTTTAACAGTATTACAGTTATATCGCGGCGTGTCAGCTTAATGTGGGAGGAAAGCCCGAAGTGATGCAGGTCTCAGACGTTTACCACTTCGGTGAAACCCACGAGCACGGGTATGGTGCTGACAAACCTAGACACATAATTGGGGCGAACCGGGATTCGAACCCACAATCATAGGTTTCTGGCGTGCCCAAGGGACGCAACTCTGCACAGCGAATCGCGGCGCCTTGGATGACTGGGCCACCCGTGCCCCCACCAGTTTGCATTGAGCAAGGTATGGAACATATTTTATAGTTTATTGCTAGTTTTAAACAACGATGTTGGTTGGTTGGTTGTTTAACGCCGCTCTCAGCAATATTCCAGCTATATGACAGCGGTCTGTAAATAATCTGGACCAGACATCGGGATCGATGACATGCATCAACCAAGTCAGAGAGCCTGACCACCCGATCCCGTTAGTCGCCTCTTACGACAATCAAAGTCGCCTTGAAAACAACGATGTATTGACATTGATCATCAACAGTAGATGGAAACTTTAGTAAGGTATCAGAAACGTACCTATGAGAAGTTTTAAGGACAAAAGTATGTTATAATTTTGAAAAATATTTATCCCTAGTCAATGTCGAGGTCAATTGTATTGTGCTATGTAAGTTCAGATGTTTCTAAGCATGGACCTACGATTAAGGAGGGTAGAAAGCAAAATATTCCATCCGAGCAGAGATTAGTTTCTCTGGGTTTTGTACCTGTTCAAGAGTCTTAATTTCATTTATTGTTTGAATGTACCGTCTTTGAAAACTTAAGAAAAAAACTATGCCCAGGTATTAGTGTTTATATCTATGGTACGATAAAATGGCACGCTTGTTCACTTCAGAAAATGTATTTGTTTTGAATTGTCTCGCCAAACATATATTTCTAGGCTGAAAGAAACGTTCAAAATTTCTCCAATGTATTAAAACCAATATTTGATGTGCATTGTGTAGTTACTTGTAACGGTGCTCCATAACTGATTTTAATATTGTATCAGCAATATGATATAATACTGACCGGAGGCCAAATTACCTGAAATAAAAGCATTCATTCTCATCCACTCATGCATCAATGCGACATGGGAAAGAAGCCATGTTGGAGTGTAGTATTCAGACTTACCTGCTCTACAACAAACACCCTAAAGTCTAGCTGTTGTCTCCTAAGAATTGGTAGCAGGTGCGCTAGCAACACAACTAAATGATGAAGTCTATCCCTGTAGGGGATTATGATCGCCACACGGTATCTGGCGAAACACGATTTTGGCTTCCACTTGCCGCCATACTGGATATCCACATTCTCTTCGATGACATCAACAAGCCTGATGTCGTCATGGGAGTGACTAGCATTCACATTTAAAGGTCCCTCTGAAAGAAGAAACGACAGAAATTAGAGAGTGACCAGTTGGATGGAAGACCGCTTTCAACATATTTGATTTGATGTAGCATAACACGTAAAGCCTTTTGTAGACGCCATAAAATACGAACTAGTCCAAGGCGCGGATTACTAGTTTATGTGACATAATTATGGTGGGAAACATGTAGTCCTTACAGAGTTCAACTAGTCTCGGAATTAGTGGACAGGTGACCGTGTCGTATCTAGAATGAGGTCTGCTTTCACCACTTTGGTGAAACCCACGAACACTGGCACGGTAGTGTGAGACTAAGGGTAATAATCGTACTGGGAGACTAAGGATAATAATCGTATTCGGAGACTAAGGGTAATAATCGTACTGGGAGACCAAGGATAATAATCGTACTGGAAGACCAAGGGTAATAATCCTACTAGGGGACCAATGGTAATAATCGTACTGGGAGACCAAGGGTAATAATCGTACAGGAAGACCAAGAGTAATCATCGTACAGGAAGACTAAGGGTAATAATCGTACTGGGAGACCAATGGTAATAATCGTTCAGGAAGACAAAGGGTAATAATCGTACTAGGAGACCAAGGGAAATAATCGTACTGGAAGACCAAGGGTAATAATCCTACTAGGAGACCAATGGTAATAATCGTACTGGGAGACCAAGGGTAATACTCCTACTAGGAGACCAAGGGTAATAATCGTACAGGAAGACAAAGGTAATAATCATATTGGGAGACCAAGGATAATAATCGTACTGGAAGACCAAGGGTAATAATCCTACTAGGAGACCAATGGTAATAATCGTACTGGGAGACCAAGGGTAATAATCCTACTAGGAGACCAAGGGTAATAATCGTACAGGAAGACCACTGGTTATATTCCTACTAGGAGACCAATGGTAATAATCGTACAGGAAGACCAAGGGTAATAATCGTACTGGGAGACCAAGGGTAATAATCCCACTGGATGACAAAGGGTAAGAATCGTACTGGGAGACTAAGGGTAATAATCGTACTGGAAGATCATGGGTAATAATCTTACTTGGAACTCAATGGTAATAATCTTACTTGAAACTCAATGGTAATAATCGTACTGGGAGACCAAGGGTAATCATCGTACATCTCCGATTCAAACTACCGATCAGTGGGCCTTAGGGGTATTTGTAGGGAGAGTTGTGATACGGAACCTTGATCGTTGGGAAAACACAAGTTAGCATAATATCTTCCTATTCATAAACAATAAGTCTGCATATGGAAGAGTGTCTATTGGTGACGCATAAACTATGTCACTGAGATGTGGACCAAGTGATAGAGAGATACAGTTGCATTCATGCATTGCCCGAAGCAACCTTGAAACTTCCAAGTGATCGAGCGAAAGATCTCCAACTCGACTCGTCGGTCAATGTGAATAAATAAAATCAGTTAGGCCTCGATCAATCTTCTGTTCGTCGTCCACGTATTCCGATATCCCGTCTGACATAAAACACGAGACGTCATAAATCATCAAGGAGCTATCGAGTGTCATCATTACGTCTAGCACCTCGAATACCTGAAAACATCAGGATTTCTTTCGAATGTTTTCTTTCTCCTTGCGTCTAAAGCCATGGAAACGCGAGCTGTCGCTAAAATAGATTACCAACTCAATACATTTGCTCCAGAATCCAAAATGTCAAAATACACAGAATGAAAAAAGCTGTTAAATAACACATAGGCGTTCCTAGATTAATTGAGTAAATAAAACCGGGCAAAAAATCAACACTATCAGTTTCACTGTGTCAAAGATGTTAGAAGAGGCGCATTAATCAATCGTTTTATTACCAGCTACTTGTGCATAACATCGGTTAACGGCATCCATGAAGCCGAAACGGTGACCAGGGGCACATAACTGTACCCGATTTGCGTACAAACACACCACGGTTGCCATAATTCCACTACAATCAATACAAGGCGTATTAAAGTGACTGTCGCGTCCCGGTCAGCAACAGCATCAATTTTGCTTGATAATTACAGCCTACTGTCTTCCTAGCGCATCAAGGGACCAACACGTCTCCAAAGCGATTGATGTTTCCAGGGGTTATATGATCTGTAAATGCTCTAGCCGACCCATGTGGTTACTGACACAGCCCTGATCGTGGATGAGTGCCAACAGCTTCTGATAAAACGGGTTTGGAAGCATGAAAGAGCACGCGCGAGTTCATTTGAAACCTTCTATTGTGACTATGCCAAAATGTTTGATTTGCAAAAGGTCATGTCAAAGCATACAATCTCATTTCAGAAGCTTGCAATGGAGTCCCAAATCAGATGTGCAGGCAGTGCTGTTTGAAATGTGATAACGAACCCAACAGCGTATCTTGGTCCAAGTTGACTTACTGCTTATTCGACATCAGCTTGTTATGATTGAGTTGGGTTTAACGTCGCATTACTAAGGTAGTTCAGTGAAATCACAAATTGTCAAGTGTTTATCATGTTGGTAAAACAAGATCAAGTCTATGATGTTGGCAAGACAAGATCAAGTCTATGATGTTGGCAAGACAAGATCAAGTCTATGATGTTGGCAAGACAAGATCAAGTCTATGATGTTGGCAAGACAAGATCAAGTCTATGATGTTGGCAAGACAAGATCAAGTCTATGATGTTGGCAAGACAAGATCAAGTCTATGATGTTGGTAAGACAAGATCAAGTCTATGATGTTGGTAAGACAAGATCAAGTCTATGATGTTGGCAAGACAAGATCAAGTCTATGATGTTGGCAAGACAAGATCAAGTCTATGATGTTGGCAAGACAAGAGGAGGTCTATGATGTTGGTAAGACAAGAGAAGGTCTATGATGTTGGTAAGACAAGAACAAGTCTACATTGTTAGCAGACCAGGGTTCATAATCAGATCCAGGGGACGAAACTCTTGACAGCAGCGCCTGAGCCGCCTGTGATCGCTTAAGGGACATGTATGGATCAAGATTGAATATTAATACGACGAAGGACGCTCCTGCATTTGCCGTTACATGTTCATATAGAGAGCACTTGTATTATGTCAATCTACAACCCTTCATGATAGTATACCAACATTACAACCAATCACAAGAAGTGAATGACGTGCATCTGCGGTAACATTCAAGTCCTGTTTCGTTAAGGTCCGTTGTGGATATATGTTCTTTAGTCTGTCTCGCTAGTACTTTTCCCTTCCGCCCAGTCTGTCATACAGACCCTGAAACAAATATATCCACTACAGCCCATGCAAGTCTATTATGTTTGGCAAGTCTAGATTACTGCATTATCTGAAAATGATGAAAGTCTCTGAACTCCTTTTTATTATATTTTAGAACAATAATTTAACAGCTGTTTTTTCTGTAAAATATACAGAGATTAGTCAGTCAACCTTCCAGGAAGCCCTAACTGGTCTAAATGAAACAACGATTTTCCACTGGTTCAGGTCTGAATCTCCCATCTCACTTGGGCTCCTTTTCAATTTAAATGTACTTGCCTGTTTCTGTCAAATTGTTACGCGTTATTCTATATGCTTCTATTTCTAAAGGAATCTCCTGGTTCTGAATTCTGTATTTTGGCGCGGCATGTGCCCCTCCCACAGGTCGACATTTCTGTCAAAGTCAGCATCACAGCAGGGTCATATATGCCCACTGCAGAAACCAAAACGCCCGTCGCCTGCCTTAATTGCGTTAGTTGGGGGAGCTGATAGGCAAAGATTTAGGGGCAGTCTTGGGGCTGCCTGCTGATCCCTGGCTCGCCATAGACTCTGACCCAAAGCCATCATTTTTCTCTGGGGACCATATCGTGCTCTGATCAATACACTAATCAACATGTCCTTCTGTGAAACTCACACTCTGCTAGTGGAGTCTCACTCCACCCAGATCCCTTACAGCCCGTCAATACAATAAGACATTCGACATTCCTGGAGACCTTTGTCCTCTGGCGTCTTCTGCCTCCTCTAAAGACAAACATTGATACGAGTTTAATCCTTCAATGAAACCCTCAAACACCCCCTAGTTTGAATCCTTTGTCACAATCGTTCCAATTTTCCGACTGACCACCCCATGATTTAGAGACGCGTCTGTGTAGAATTGGTAAAAATATATCGGTCTCCAAGGGCTAGATCATTACGAGTACTCAGATCGCCCATCTGTGTTTCAAACGAAGCAAGCAATCGTTGGAAAAGCTTTTCCTCCAAAGAAATTGTTCCTGTCTCTCCCGCCCAAGGCGATACGGCCGGAGTCAATTTGTACGCAAGGCTCGGGTTATGAATGTGCTTTCCCTATCCGTACCAAGAATTGTAATTCAATATAATATCAGTTGGTTTACATATATCACACAACTGCCTTACCTACATCTCATGTCAGGTTTTGTAATCTGCTTTGAAGGTGTCTCTCCGGTAATCGTGTTCAAATAGCCAAGTGTTTTGGAGAAACCTTTCGATGCGTGCACTTGTTAGACTCCCATAAGGCTGTGTTCACTTACGTCTTCGCTTCCAGCGTGTATAATTTACCCCTCAAATACTCAACACTGATAACTGGGTTTAGACAGATTTGGCAAGAAATTGAATTCTGAGTCAAATCGAAGCTCATGTCTTGGAGCAAGGACATCCTTCAAATGACAGGACAGCTACAAACGGACCTTACTTTGCACGACGATTGCATTTGAGTTTGGCAAAACAACGAATGTATTTTCAAATTAGGGAGGGGTATTGATTCTTCTGAATAATAGATGAAATCTTGTGGCCCAAGCAGCCAGGTCTGCTTCGGGATGTGAAATGGGAGCTTTTTCTCCAAACTGGCTTCTTCAGTAATCTCAGCATTGCCGACAGTGCACATTGTATAGGACAACCACCCAAGAGTGCGGTGTTTCGTGCGATTTGTGTCATTTTTGTATTTATTCCGTTGGAAAATGGGCAAAACGATCCCCTAGTGTCTCAAGGAGGGTAACATTTTAGACACGCCGGTTTCAATGTTTCATTCAGGTTAACATCGACGTGGTCGATGAATTTTCTAATTTTTGCTTGAACATCCAGCTCAGAGACTACCACGCAGAGCGATACTGAAGATCTGTGGTTCCTGTCAACGAGCTTCTGGCTCTGTGTACTTGCCCTCTGATCATACTCTCAGAGCAGTCCTTGTGAGAACCGCCGCCTTATCATGCATGATAACAAACTCATTCGGCGTCATGGGGAGGGTTGCAGGAAATGGACAGGGAGTGTCGGCCAAAACATGACGTACATTTGTTGGGAATTTTCTAATGGTTGTTGCGGTCCTATGACTGAAGTCAGTTTAATTCACATCAGTGGATTTCCTCTATTCATTATTGTCTATATAAATATCAAACGGTTTTTAGCTAACCCAGGAGAAAATATAGAGTTTGTTATGAATAATTCATCTTTTTGTGGACGACGTATGCACATATGAAATGTGGTGAAATACTTCCAACAGTTAATATGCATCGTACACGCATGGAATCTGTCTACAGTCTACAATATGACGTCTTGCCGTGCCTTTGAAATCGTAAATAGTGTGGGTTCTGCAAGCGTCCTACTCTATCATTATCAACTCGCAACTGTTAAGTGCTTTGTCAAAATGCTATTGTTTTTTTCTGACCTTCTCCGCCATTCGTCAACGATATATATTCAGCATACTAGTTGGCAACAAAATATCAAAATGATTTCATAACAGGCATTGATCTGCATGATGGTCTGCTCCAGTCACGTGATCAAGCTCTTCCCGCCATTCTGGCGTCTCAGTCGATGACAGTCGACGGCAAATTGGAGCAGTCTCCCGATAAGTGGAGCACATCTAGACAAGCTTTTGTGCAATAAAGCGTAATGTGATCATACACACAGCAAACTCAGCATAGGCTTCCTAACATGCGATCTCTGATTTTATCGACCCGGCTTCTGATGACGGACCAGTTTCTATTAGCCTCTGCACACTAGTCAGGTGGGGAACAGCATTGGGAGATGAAGGGGATTTCGGGGACGTTTGTGCGCCGAGGGCCAGATTGTTACCAGAAGCTTAACTTAACGTCGTTGACATAAGTATTTGATCATTAGCAGCTTGCTTATTCATTGCTGTTTAAAGGCGTAAGACCATGCTGAGTCTTTATGGAGATGTTAAAATGTTAGAGGTGATGCTAAGAGTGATGTTAAAATGTTACAGTGAAGCGTTTGGATATGTTCACATGTTACAGGCGAAGCTTAGGGAGATGTTAAATTGTTACAGGCGAAGCTTAGGGAGATGTTAAAATGTTACAGGTGATGCTAAGGGAGATGTTAAATTGTTACAGGCGAAGCTTAGGGAGATGTTTAAATGTTACAGGTGATGCTAAGGGAGATGTTAAATTGTTACAGGTGAAGCTTAGGGAGAGGTTAAAATGTTACAAGTGAAAATAAGGGAGATGTTAATAGGTTACAGGTGAAACTCATTGTGATGTTATAATGTTACAGGTTATGCTTAGGGTGATGCTCAAGTGTTACAGGTGATGCTAGGGAAATGTTAAGATGTTACATGTGATGCTTAGGGAGATTTCAAAATATAACAGGTGATGCTTAGGGCGATGCTCAAATGTTACAGGTGATGACTAAGGAGATTTCAAAATGTTACAGGTGATGCTTAGGGAGATGTTAAATGTTACAGGTGATGCTTAGGGAGATGCTAAATGTTACAGGTGATGCTTAGGGAGATTTCAAAATGTTACCGGTGATGTTAAAATGTTACAGAAGAAGCCTAAGGAGATTTCAAAATGTTACAGGTGATGCTTAGGGAGATGTTAAATGTTACAGGTGATGCTTAGGGCGATGCTCAAATGTTACAGGTGATGCTTAGGGAGATGTTAAATGTTACAGGGGATGCTTAGGGCGATGCTCAAATGTTTCGGGTGATGCCTAAGGAGATTTCAAAATGTTACAGGTGATGCTTAGGGAGATGTTAAATTTTACAGGTGATGCTTAGGGCGATGCTCAAATGTTACAGGTGGTGCTTAGGGAGATGTTAAATGTTACAGGTGCTGCTTAGGGCGATGCTCAAATGTTACAGGTGATGCCTTAGGATATTTCAAAATGTTACAGGTGATGCTTAGGGAGATGTTAAATGTTACAGGTGATGCTTAGGGAGATGTTAAATGTTACAGGTGATGCCTAAGGAGATTTCAAAATGTTACAGGTGATGCTTAGGGAGATGTTAAATGTTACAGGTGATGCTTAGGGAGATGTTAAATGTTAAAGGGTGATGCTTAGGGCGATGCTCAAATGTTACAGGTGATGCTTAGGGAGATGTTAAATGTTACAGGTGATGCTTAGGGAGATTTCAAAATGTTCCCGGTGATGTTAAAATGTTACAGAAGAAGCCTAAGGAGATTTCAAAATGTTACAGGTGATGCTTAGGGAGATGTTAAATGTTACAGGTGGTGCTTAGGGCGATGCTCAAATGTTACAGGTGGTGCTTAGGGAGATGTTAAATGTTACAGGTAATTCTTAGGGCGATGCTCAAATGTTACAGGTGATGCCTAAGGAGATTTCAAAATGTTACAGGTGATGCTTAGGGAGATGTTAAATGTTACAGGTGATGCTTAGGGAGATGTTAAATGTTACAGGTGATGCCTAAGGAGAGTTCAAAATGTTACAGGTGGTGCTTAGGGAGATGTTAAATGTTACAGGTGATGCTTAGGGAGATGTTAAATGTTACAGGTGATGCTTAGGGAGATTTCAAAATGTTCCCGGTGATGTTAAAATGTTACAGAAGAAGCCTAAGGATATTTCAAAATGTTACAGGTGATGCTTAGGGAGATGTTAAATGTTACAGGTGATGCTTATGAGATGTTAAATATTACAGGTGATGCTTAGGGAGATGTTAAATGTTACAGGTGATGCTTAGGGAGATGTTAAATGTTAAAGGGTGATGCTTAGGGCGATGCTCAAATGTTACAGGTGATGCTTAGGGAGATGTTAAATGTTACAGGTGATGCTTAGGGAGATTTTAAAATGTTCCCGGTGATGTTAAAATGTTACAGAAGAAGCCTAAGGAGATTTCAAAATGTTACAGGTGATGCTTAGGGCGATGCTCAAATGTTACAGGTGATGCTTAGGGCGATACTCAAATGTTACAGGTGATGCTTAGGGAGATTTCAAAATGTTACCGGTAATGTTAAAATGTTACAGATGATGCTTAGGGAGATTTCAAAATGTTCCCGGTGATGTTAAAATGTTACAGAAGAAGCCTAAGGAGATTTCAAAATGTTACAGGTGATGCTTAGGGCGATGCTCAAATGTTACAGGTGATGCTTAGGGCGATACTCAAATGTTACAGGTGATGCTTAGGGAGATTTCAAAATGTTACCGGTAATGTTAAAATGTTACAGATGATGCTTAGGGAGATTTCAAAATGTTCCCGGTGATGTTAAAATGTTACAGAAGAAGCCTAAGGAGATTTCAAAATGTTACAGGTGATGCTTAGGGCGATGCTCAAGTGTTACAGGTGATGCTTAGGGCGATGCTCAAATGTTACAGGTGCTGCTTAGGGCGATGCTCAAATGTTACAGGTGATGCTTAGGGTGATGTACGAATTCGCATGGCTTCAGCAACGGAAACCACCAAGCATCTTCTCGACCAACCCACTAAATAATCACTATACTGAGACTGATACCCAAGATCGTTCAGAACTGGGTTGTTTTACATTCAGCAGCTACAGTACCTATTTTTAATTTCCTTTTTCTTGTTATCACATCCTTTTCACGTGCTTTGCTTGAACATCCAGCTCAGAGACTACCACGCAGAGCGATACAGAAGATCTGTGGATCCTGTCAACGAGCTCCTGGCTCTGTGTACTTGCCCTCTGATCATACTCTCAGAGCAGTCCTTGTGAGAACCGCCGCCTTATCATGCATGATAACAAACTCATTCGGCGTCATGGGGAGGGTTGCAGGAAATGGACAGGGAGTGTCGGCCAAAACATGACGTACATTTGTTGGGAGGTCATCCTATCTTGGCTAACACATTGAAAGGGTTTCTATGTCAGAAATATATATATCAGGTTAAAACAGGTTTTTTGCTCGAAGTCGCACACCGGAAATGAATTAAAAGGGAGGGGGGGGGGGGGGGGGGGGGGGGGGGGGCATCCAATTAACGAGGCTTACACTATCTTGACAGTGTGAGTTCACTTGGTTTCCAGAAAGTGGATTCCATTGTGCATAGGCGAATCTAGAGGGGGATCCGGGGGGTCCAGATCCATCCCCTACCCCAAATGGCCAGAATAGGTCCCCCACAGCCTAAATAGATGAATGAGTGATAATAATGTTTGACCTGTCTGGATGTATGCCACCGTGTACCGGCGGCGAGGGAAGTCATCATGCTATCAACCACTGGTTTGCCTGTATCCGACAATTACTCACAGGTCGATATTTTTAGCATGGATACGTGCTGTACGCGTGATTGATGCCATTTATTTAGGACAATCCCTCTCGATCAAGAACTGATCACCTCAGAACTAAATGTAATAAGCTTAAGGGTCACCCTGACCAGAAACAATCAACTTATTGTGCGCACTTCAACTGAAACACGAGCACTGGGGGGCTACTTAAAGACAGCTGATTTGTTTGTCTCCAACCCAGTATCAGGTGGCGTTTGTCAATCATCCGATTAGTCGTCCGAGTACTGATATCGGCAATATGCTACTGCTTACTAACAACTATATCTGAGACAGTGATCCAATTATTGTCATCAAAAGATCGTGCACGGGAAGCATGGACTGACGACTTTTCGTGTTAACGGTGGCCGTCCATGTGGCTTGTTGTGGCAAGATGGTAGCCTGTTTGTTCTGCATGGACTTGACTACAAGTTCCGCGCCACGAGTGAGTGAGTAAGTGAGTTGGGTTTAACGCCGCTTTTAACATTATTCCAGTTATATCACGGCGTGTCAGTTTAATGTGGGAGGAAAGCCCGAAGTGATGCAGGTCTCAGACGTTTACCACTTCGGTGAAACCCACGAGCACGGGTATGGTGCTGAAAAACCTAGGAACATAATCAGGGTGAACCGGGATTCGAACCCACAATCATAGGTTTCTGGCGTGTCCAGGGGACGCAACTCTGCACAGTGAATCGCGGCGCCTTAGACGACTGGACCATCTTTTCCAAAATTTTGTGTTATCTTGTTTTAACTTAGTGCGTGTACTTAGCTTTCCGGAACTGATCAAGCTTGTGATTTTATTGCAGCTTTAAGGCCATATTGTGCATGCATGTACATACATATAAGGCATGAATGTCTGGCCATTCGACAAAAAACTACGTAACGATACTATAAACGTGTATGGGAAAACATTAAGTGGATCGTAGCGTACGATCTGAGGGATGCCAGCTACCCACGTAACTACTGGATGAACTGTAACTGATTGACGCTGAATCAGCATTTAGAGAGCACCTCAGCGGGACAAAATGAACATTATATTCAGTCGACCAATGATTATACAGTGAACAGTAATACTAATGTTCCCATCTTTACATATCTGTTCAGTGTCAGCGGAACGACGAAGGTGCCCATGCATGAACAGCGTTGTCTGAAACAATCGCTTTCATAAACGTCGTAAGGTTTTATCGGGAATCGAACACGACTCATAACAATGA